AAATTGTGGTGTATATACACAAAGAAATATTACTCAGCCATCAAAAAGAATGAAAACTTGCCCTGGCTTGTGTGGCTTAGTTGGTTGATTCTGTGCACCGAAGGGTTGCCGGTTTGATTCCTGGTCAGGACACGTACCTAGGTTGTGGGTTCGATTCCCAGTGGGGCAGCCAATCGATGTCTCTCTCTCTCCCTCTCCCTTTAAAAATAAAATCAATAAAAAATGTTAAAAAATATAATAGAAAAAGAATGAAATCTTGCTATTTGCAACAGCATGGATGGTAAGGGCATTATGCTAAGTGAAATAAGTTAGGCACAGAGAGACAAATACTGTATGATCTCTCTTATGTGTAGAATCTAAAAACACTGAAACAAAACCAAGGTTATAGATACAGAGAACAGATTGGTGGTTGCAAGAGCAGGGGTGGGGAGGACGAGATAGGTTGGGAGAAATGGGTGAAGTTTTTTATTTTTTATTTTAAATGAATAATAGTTTTCAAAAACGATTCTTTATTTTAGTTGTTACTAATTCATAAACTGGAGCTGTCCAGTATGGTAGCCACTACCATCATATGTGGTGATTTTAATTTAAATTATTTAAAATTAAATAAAATGAAAAATTCAGTTCCTCAGTCACACTTGCCACATTTCAAGGGCCCAGTAGCCACTGTGGCCATGTAGCCAGTGGCTGCATATTGGGCAGTGCAGGTACAGAACACCTGTGTCATTGCAGGAAGTTTTACTGAACGAAGCTATTGAAAACAGCTGCGTGTCCCTCCTGGTACTGATGCCTATGTAGGTGCTCAAAGAGATGTGCAGTGTGAAGGCCCAGATTCAAGGGGGTGCAGAGGTCGGGAGATCCTGGAAGCGCTGCCTTTCACTGAGCACACTTGCATGGCTGGGGAAGGATGCTGGGCAGGAGAGGATGTCTGTGTATGCTCCCTGCTCTTAGCAGGCTCAGCCCCGTAAGGTATCAAATTAGGTGATGCTGAAAGGGAGAGTTTGCACTCAACCAGTAGTTTCTTAAGATTCTGAGTGGGACCTGCCTTCTGATTCAAAGGACAGTGAGGCTGTAGGAGCTGGAGCTGGAAAGGGACTCTGGAGATCAGAGGCCTGCTCTATTATTCAGCATTGTGTTTTTTAGCCTTAAATAACATTTTAATTTTTTGGTGAGTGGCAGTGTCCCTCACCTCCATGTGATGTGTGTGTTTATTTAGAAGCTGGTAGAAGGTCACTTTGGGGCCTCTTTAGTTGAAATATGAGTACCAAATAGATGCTGACTCATTTTCATGGGTGATGGTTTGTGAGTGTATGACTTACAGTCATCATCAATCTACACTATGACACATGCTGGGCTTGTTCTGAGGTACACAGAACGTACAGGGGACACACATGATTTGCCGTAATGGCTGATGTGCCAAGTGTTTGCTGAGTCAGCAGTAGACTGGTCTTTCTGGGCTTGTGTCACCAGAGAGGGTCCACACAGAGCATTACCCAGACATTGTCCTGAAGGTGACCATTACTTTGTGCCAAGAGACTCCCTACCTGAGACTGTTTTTTGTCACAGGTGAGGGGCAGCAGAGTCCTGGCTCTGTTCTTTGGTGGGAGGGCTTGACAGGGTGACACTGCTGCTTTCTAAGGGCTGCCAACAGCAGACAAATGCAGACATGCATCTAGTCTAAAGAAGATGGTGGAATAGGTCTTCAGTACACACACACACACACACACACGCACAATGCATTCATCACATGCACACACACACACACACATGCACTCATACACCTACACATAAAAACACATGCATGCACATACACAGATGCATGTTGTTATGTTGTTTTCTCATTCTGAAATGCCCTCCTTTTTTACTCTAATCTATTAAAATTCAATTTTAGGGACTAACCTGTGTATAAGCCAGAGTGTAGTCACACCCATAGTTTGAATGGGGAAAATTTAATATAAAGGATCATTAGCTCGTAAAAGGTGATTTACTCCTGAAAGGAGTAAAATAAGATTCTAAGGGTTCGGAAGTAGCAAACTCACAAAGCAGCTGCTCCCCCTGGGGCCGAGGGGTCGTGAACAAGGACAGAAGTGAGTGCTCAGCCGAGGGCTTCCCACCCACAAGGCTGAGCTACAGGGCTGCCCTGGGGGTGAGGAGATGGTGGAAGGCATGGCCAGGGGGAAGCCTGCCTGGTGGCAGAGAAGTTGAGAGGGTGTGGGCTGCTGGGTAGTCACTGGAGGGTGTGGGTCTGAGTTGGTCCATAGGAGGGGCCCACCAGGTAGTGGAGAAATTTAGTGAGGGTGGTCTGGTCAGTGAGGGCCCCTGAGGTGGGCACTCCCAAGCCACTGACCAGCTGGTTGCTGTGCTGAAGACAGGGCCATCAAGGGAGAGTCCTGTCTCTGTTGTGGCCTCCCACGGTCCTTCCAGAGCTTGTTGACAAAGCCTGAAATCCACCATCTGACAGGAGAAATGACACAAGGTCCAGCTGCAGTATCGCAGCACAAGGGGATGGGAGCTGAGAGGTCATATGTTTGTGAGTGGCACATACCTGCTCCCCCTCCCGGGAGCCAAGCCTATCCTCTGATCGCAGCCCCCTTGGGTCTTCCATGCGTGAGCTCCCACAGGACTCTGGATCCCACTGCCCAGTGTCGTTCTCTGTGTGAACGGCTCTGTCCCGTCTCCCCATGTGGTGGAGGGCACAGGACTCTCTGCCTGCTGTAAACCAGTAAAGGCACTGTGGTTGGTGTCTGTACTGGGACGGGAGGAAAAAGGGGCGTGTGTCCTCACCCTGTTTTCTAGTCCTCTGCTTCTGTTTGGCATTGACCCTGGAACAGCTTTGAGTGGGGGCTGAGTGTGCCTCCTTGGTGGGGCGGACTGCTGGGTGCCAGGGCAGCCTCACCAGAGCACCTGGCCGGACCTGGGCTCTGGTTGCACCGTACCTTAGGTCTAACGGACTGTGGATGCCTTTCTGCCACCTCATATTCTGCTGATGATTGTGACCTCTTCTTAGCTCAGTTGGAATTGGGGGATAATTGTTTGAGCTGCAAAAAGTCATTTGTTCATAACAGCCTGGACCCTTGTATTGTGAGGATATGCCTGGTTCCCTGTTTGACTGTATTAACCTACATTCTTACTTCCTTAGAACTAGGGCTTGAGTGTGGCCTTGGCCAGCCATAGCAGTACGGACCTTCTGTCATCTGATACTGGCCAGCACAGTCCCCATTTCCAAATTCCTAAGAAAGGTCATCTGTCCCATCCCCCACAGCCCTTTGTTTAATCTAGGGTGTGCTCTCTTAATTCTTGGAATTAATTTTCTTCTCCGTGTAACCTCCTGTCTGGGATAAAAGACTCTCTCTGGCCCAGCTTGAATCAGGTATCCACATCAAGGCTGAGGGACCTTGCCCAGGAGAATGGAGTCCTGTACACAGGGTTGCCTGTGAGTGCACGGGGGTGGGAGGCTGGGCGTCCCCCACAGCCAGCAGTGGGTGGGCCCAAGGGCCTCAGGGCATCCTGCTCATGCCCGGAGTCTGTGGCCTGTGTTCTGCTATGGTAGGAGGGGCAGGTAGGCTTCCTGGCTGCTGGGACAAGGATGTCCGAGGCTATAGTGTTCTCTTCTTAATTTCTTTTTTTTTTTTTTTTATCCTCACCCGAGGACATTTTTCCATTTTTTGTTCAGGTAAAGTGGGAGGGAGAGAGAGGAACAGAGAGAGAGAGAGAAACATCGATGTGAAAGGAACACATCGAGTGGCTGCCACCCGCACGACCGACCAGGGCCGGGGACAAACTGCAACCGAGGTACGCGCCCCTAGCGGGAACCGAACCCGGGTCTCTCAGGACCGCAGGCCGACGCTCTAACCGCTGAGCCAAACCGGCCAGGGCTCTCTTCTTAATTTCTAAAGTAACAGTATTCTGTATGGTTCACTTAGCAACTAATTATATGGGATTTTTGAATGTTTCTTCCATGTGTGTTGCCAACTGCTGTTTAACTCTTCATGTGGTCTATGCCTCCATTGTGTACTTACTTATGTCAACATCCTTCATAGCACTTAAGAGAAGGTGAGTCCATCAAAGATGTTCACCCTCTCTTGGTTGACTCTGTGGGTGGAAGAGCTGCCAGGTTCCCACAGGGCACTGGACTCCCATGTCTTTTGTGTGTGCTCATGGCCCCATCCTACCTCAGAAGCTGTAGCTCCAGGAAGACAGGACCCTCAGAGCTCCAAGACCCTCAGCTGAGCTGGAGTGATGACTGGGGATGTGGAGCCTGGGAGCAGATGGGGGTCACCGGCCAGCTCTGGAAGGACAGGTGGGCATCAGGCCGCAAGTTCAGGCTGCTCTGTCCTAGACAATCTGCCCAGCTCCATGTGCCAGAAACACTTTGCTCCAGTTAATACGAGACCACTGCAAAAGTTTGCTGGGTTGAAAGAGCCCTAGGTTTGGAATGTTTTCTAGACCCCTCCCCCATTTAAAAGAATATTTATTTTCTATTTCTTTATAAGCAAACCAAGTTTTCTATCTTTAAAGATACCAATACCTGTCTCCCTGAGCTGCTGTAAGAATTAAAAGAAATAACATATATGACTTGTAGGCCTCCAAATAGATAGTATTATTAGTATGTCTGAGCGTTGGGTGGCAAATGCATTAACTTGATGTACTCTTGAATGAATCATTAGTAGATTAGATTTGGTTAAAAGCCTTGAACAAACACTCATTTCTAGGAAGTGGGACCCAGACCAGGTAAATTTGATGGAAAGATCAGAAGCATCCGGCCATGTGAGAAGGTCAGCCTCAGTATGAGGTTGGAATTGACTGCTTTGGGTACTGAGACTTAAGGAGAACATTGAGAGGAATGGTGAATGAAGGTGTGTGTGTGTGTGTGTGTGTGTGTGTGTGTGTACGTATGTACTGAGGATAAATCAGCATTTTCAAGCAGAGGGGGCAGGGGAACAATGTCCACTGAACAGGGTGCACTCACACCTCTCTGGTCCTCGCCTGTCTCCCTGCAGGTGCACCTCCGTTCTGCCAGGCGTCTTTGTGAGCTCTGTTGTGCCAATCGGGGCACCTTCATCAAGGTGGGCCAGCACCTGGCGGCCCTGGACTACCTGCTGCCCCAGGAGTACACCAGCACGCTGAAGGTATTGCATAGCCAGGCCCCACAGAGCAGCATGGAAGAGGTCCGCCAAGTCATCCGCGAGGACCTGGGCAAAGAGGTACCTGCCTTCACCAGGAGGGCTGGGACCTGGGACAGTTCGCTTCTGAAAGGGCCCCGTCGGAGTTCTCACTGCCAAGTGCTAGGGACCCAGCATTCGTGCAGAAGCACACTCCATGCAGCTTTCAATGCCCAAGTCAGGGAGGACAGGACCCTCATTGTCCCTCAGTAAAAATGTTAGTTGAACCATCTGAAAGAGTTGATATTCTACTGTTTTTGACCTGCAACCTAATATGATTCACATGGCTCAACCTAATAATATTTATCAACTTTTGAGGGTTTCTCGTGTGGATGACTGTGCTGAGTTCCATGCATTATGTCACTTAATCCTCATACAAACATATGAGGTAGGTACTACTATTCACCCCATTTCGCAGATGAGGGATAGAGGCTTAGGTGCTAAGGTAAAATGTCCAAGGGCACCTTAGTAAGTGATTGCTGCACAGTGCTCTATGATCCTATCAGTAAGCTGTCTGCATCACTTGGTGCATTGGCTTTTCCGGAACTTCTGTGGCAGGCAGTCATCAACCTCTGCTTGATTACTTCCAGTGATGGGAAAACTCCTCCTCTCATCTGCTGCCCAAGGTGGTCTCTTCTTTTGTTAGTCATCTCTAATTATAAAAGTGCTTCTTCTTCCTAAGGGCTAACACCTGCTTCCTCAAAACTCACTTTTCTGATCTTTATTCTGACACTTAGAGCAACAGAGCAAGGGGCAAAGGGCCCTTCTGTCCACAGCCCAGGTCACACTCCTTTGGACTCATGCTAGGGCCCTGCAGGATGTGTGGAGCCTGAACTGGGCACAGTGGCATGGACCCTGCTGGCCTGTTCTGGTTGTCTTGCTTCTGGGGATATGGAGGGGCTTGAGCATCTGTCTGTGGGTTGTGGAGCTGTGAGTCACGCCCGGCCCTACAAATTGTGTGCCATCATTTAAGGATACTTCAGAGATTGCTACTAAAAATGTCCTCTCCCCCCTCACCTATTACTCTATTTGAAATTCTCCTCTTTGACAGAGAATCCTTTGGGTGTCCTAGAATTTTTTCTGAGCAAAATAATCTTAAAGTCAAGCCTTGATCCGCCAATACCTTTCCTGAGGTTAGTTTATAGCCTTTGATGCCTCCCATTTTCCAGAGACTGAAATTCTTAGCAGGGCTTTCAAGGTCCACCCCATCCACTTGCAGGTTGCCTGTTTCATGACTATGTCCGGGTGGGGTGCAGTGCTTTAGAGTTTGGGCTTGGGAGCCAGGGGCGTGGACTGTGCACAAATTATTTATCCAGCTCCTCACTTTCCTTATCTGCAAAATGGGGCATAATGTCCATCTCATAGGGTTGTCGTGAGGATTAGAAGTGATAATGAATATAAAGTTCTTAAGTGCAGTCTCTGACCTGGAGCAAATGCTCATCAAATACCATGTACCCTTAGCCCTCAGTCCTTATGGCAATGTCTTACCCCATTCTCTCTCTGTCAAGGTAGTCCTTGTGTTTCTAGACCATTCATCCACCTATCCATTCATCTAGCAAATGCCAGGCACAGTGCTGGGGATCCTGGCCAAAACTCAGCTCTCCTGTGAAATCTTCTGTGACTGCTTAACTTTGCTTCTACTTGTGCAGCTTGGGGCTTGGTTAGCTATGTCTGGGTGGTTCCACTGCAAGCACTAAAGTCTTCGGGGATGAAGACCATGATGGTACTTATACCTGGTCTCTGCAGCACCAGGACAGTATCTGGTGTGTAGTAGGTGCCAGTGTTTCTTTAAAGAAACAGTGAGCGAACGAGTGATGGCTTCCTTAGGCTACTCAGGGCGGAGTAGAGAGTAGGGGCAGAGGCTTTGTAAAGACCAGTTGTTCCAGTTCCCTGATCTGCATGGAGCTGGCCCTGGCTGTTTGTCTCTTAATGTAAAGCTGGTATCAGGTGCCTAGCATCAGCCAAAGATGTCCCACTGGCCTGGAGGGGGAGCACAGAAACCTTTGTGGATTTCTTCCCCGCTGAGGAACATCTCCTCCAAAATGGGGGAGATTGAGTGAAGGTGAAACCCAATTTGGGGCTGGAGTCAGGAGCAGGCTTCAGGCTGCGGGAAGCAGGGTCAGGATGCAGGGACAGGGTTGGTACAGTGGAGGCCCATGCATGGCTTTGCTTCTTGCCAAGACTGTTGGCCTCCTGCTTTCAATAGCATGAGATTCACTCCCAAATGAAAACAAAATAAATCTCTGATAACTGTGCAGTGCATCGCTGCTGGCCTGGGGCAGCTCAGTGGGGCGGAGCGAGGAAAGCCAGCAGGTTGACCCTCGGAGGCAGACTCGTCTGTGGAGCTGGGGGGAGGTGAGAGCAGGTCACCGGCTCTCTCTGAGTCAGGGTGGAGTGAGAGGAGACGTTGGGGTGTCAGCAGTCATGGTGGGCCCGCTCAGCTGGCTAAAGACTGTTAGAGGTTGGAAGATTCTACCTGCATCTTCAGGGCCTCTTCTTCAGGCGCCCCTGGCCAGGTAGTCCTGTGTGTGGTGGCTTGTGGCACCTGTCCCACAGGTTATCTTGAGCCCTCTGAGAAAGGGAGGCTGATGTCAAGGTCACAGTTCTGTGGGGGCGTCCCTCACAGCTGGGAAGCTCAGAAACCTCTGGTTTCTTACCCTGGCCCCCACAGGCACACAATCAGAGTCTTTCCTCCCCATTTCTCCTCCTCCTCCCTCCTAGGAAGATGGCATTTGTTCCCGGTGACACACTTTCAGTCTGTGTGGGTGGAGGGAGGGAAAGGGGCTGTGCGGGGAGCAGGGTAGGTGGATGTGGGGGTGGAAGGCGGGGGAAAGTCACTCACTTTGCGCTTCCCTCCTCCTCCAGTCCCTCCCTTGACACCTCTCAGGGAGCAGCTCTTCCCCCCAGGAAGATGTTTGAGCAGCCTCGCTGGTCCTGGGCTCCATGACTGCCCTGGGACCCTCAGGAGAGCTCTTTCCCCCCTGGTTTCCGGAGCATGGTGAAAGGAAGCTGGTCTGTCGCACATCACCATCTTTCTTCTAGGTCCGAATCCTTGGATGAGCTCTGAGGGCACCTGGACCTCAGAGACGGCATAGCTGCCCCCGTATCTCAGATTGGAAAGGGGAGGGGTGACTAGAGAGGAGCTCGAGGCTGGCGTGTCCCAGCCTGTGCTGGTTGGTTGCATCTATGCCTCTTGGGAACCCCTCCCATTGGCAGGGACCTCAGAGGGTCACTAGTGTTCCCAGACCAATCCCAGCCCCGGGCAGATAGAGCTGGCCATGAGGGGTGTCCCCAGCACGGGAGTAGGGGATGAGAGTGAGGTTGCAGCTCTTCTGGACCCCATGGTTTACATTCGGTTCTGGATCAGTCCACATCTCTGGCCTGCAGCCAGTTCCATCAGTGCAGAGGCGAGGGCAAGGGGAGGGGTGCCACCCGAGCACAGGGATTGGCTTAGGCAGGGAGTGTGTGGCAAGGGGGCCAGGAACCACACAGCTAAGGGAGGGGCATGTGAGCCATAGCAAGACCTCAGATCTTCTGATTCACAGGCTAGTGCTTAGTCTACTGTGTAATAAAACTTCTGTTTGGCAGAAATCCTTCTGGAAATCAGTTTTCTATGTGTTTGTCTTAGAAGTTTCTCAGCTAGTGTTACCAGAAAGAATTTTACTTTTTTCTTTTATTTTGAATGTTAGTCTTAAGTTCTGAAGGACAGATTCTGGGAAGCAGTCAGGAGCCCGAACTCTAGGAGGTGGGGACATTTCTACAGCCTCAAAAGTGACCTGGGTCTGGAGTGGGTTGGGGGTGGTCTCAGGCTTGGTCCCCTGACTACCCTTGGGGCTATGGGTACAGGTGTGGTGCTGACCTTGGCCAGCAGATGGCGCATGAGCCTGAGAATCAGGGTGGGGTGTTTAAGATACGGCCCTTCCCTGCTGAGGGGAGCCCTGATGGATGGATGAGACTCAGGTTCACTCTGCTCCTGGGCATGGTCCATGCTGTGGAAGGAGCCAAGGCTGACACCTCTCCACCCTGAATGGAACAGACGCAGGCCTAAGTCATGAGGCTGTTGACCATTTGGGTCTGTGCTGTAGGGTTCTTCACAGTGACCTACCCATCCTTACACCTTTCTCATCTGGTTTAGGAGTCTTCTGAGGTCCCCTGCAGACTAACAGCCTGAAGTTCTGTTCAACATCTTTCCCTTTATCCTTCCATTTCTTGTCTTTTTGTTATCCGAGCAGCTGGTATTTAGTGAAAAGGGTCCAGTGCTAGAAGCTGTGGGTGCAGCCAAGGCCTCATTCTGGCACCTGTAGTCTGGGGTCATCAGGAGGTATATTCATCACTGTAATACCTGGCCCTGAGCACCCATGGAGTTTTCAGGAGGGAGAGGGGGAGTGTGAGGAGGAGTAGGAATGGGAGGAGAGGGAGAGAGGTTACCTTTGGATAGATGGAGGCTTTCTGAAGCAGGTGGCATCTCACCCAGGCTCTGAGAGCTGGGTGAGACTGGAGGTGATGGGGGTTGGAGGAGAGAATTACTGGTTAGTGGGGTGGGCTAAGCAAAGGTGCAGGCGCTGGGAAATATAAGCACAGAGAGTGCATGGTGAATAGTCTTGTTGGCTAGAATTTGGGGTTCAGGTTGGTGAATAGCAGAGCTGAGGTTGCAGAGTTGGGGCTGAAGTCACATCATAAAGGGTTTTTGAATGTTCTTTTCATAACGTGAGCCCGAGGGAGAGGAAGACTTGGAGAAGGATCTGAGCAGAGTAGGATGGAGAGGGGACAGATGTACTAATACAGGAGAAGAGGCATGATTTACAGGTGGGGGGGGAGGTTTGTGGTGTGGCGGAGAGTTTGGGAATAGGAGTTACAGTGAGGTTTAGGAAGAGATGATGGTATTGTCAACTGCACTGGTAGATTTATCTTTGGTTATGGACACACACACACACCCCTTTCCTTCCTCCCTCCCTCTCCAACACATATGGAAAGTCTAGTCTCATTACAATGTATTTTAGTAAGTAATTCAGTTTTGTTTGTTGTTCTGGAATATAGTTGTA